GAAAAATTAGCTCAAGAAATCAGAAAGAAGAAAAATAAAGTAATAAAACCACTATTTGCGAACTCATCTCTACTAATCACCTTCAGAAAATGTTCTTTTCTTACTGAAAACACTATTTTACCACAAATCATATCTAATTAGGCTTTTTTGTACTGGTTACCCAAGCCTTTGTTGCAACTGCCTTAGAATTCCTGCAAGTAGTTTCTAAGGCCCTTATAAGAGAAATCAACTGTCAATGCAGATATAAAAATAAAAAAAAAGTGTTAAAATACTCTGCTTTTATATACGTCCTGTCATATCTTTGTTTTATTACCTTTGTTGACTTTTCTGTTACAGTATCCTAAGTTTTATTCTAATTAGAGCCAATGTCATATTCAGTTAACACTGTTTTTATTTTACTTAAAGCGACATTAAACCCTCAGATTTTTTAACATAAAACAATACTGTAATCCATGGTTGTTTCCCTTCTCTTTGCTGATCTTCCTTTTAAATCTGTATCTGTTCTCATGCTCTGCAGAACTTCTGTTTTGCAGCAGACTGCCTTGTCTCAGGAATGGATACACGGTGTCTGTGTATACGTTTGTATAGGCCTGTAACTTGAGCCAGCACTACAGGAAGAGGCCCTGAGCTGAAAAGGAAAGTTCTCCCCAAGCATGAGAAGACATGAGGATTTAAAAGGAAGAGCAGCAAAGAGAAGGGAAACAACCATGGATTACAGTAAGGCACACATTACAGTATTGGTTTATGTTAAAAAATCTGAGGATTTAATGTCACTTTAATTTTATACACTGGCAGAGGGCTTTTGAAAAACAAAAATGCATAAAGTAAAATACTTTGCACTGTGTACACCTAAGTAACTAGTGCAGATATCATAGGCATGAAATGGTTAGTGTTCCACAAAAACAATAACATTCTTTAAAAATCTGTTGTCCATCCAAACCATGAATGTCAGTGCCTGCACCAGATTCAGGAACCTGTTGGAAACAGGTACATTAGTTTGGCACAAGTACCGCCATTTACAGTGTGGAGGTGCACTGAGGCAGAGTCTGATATAATCACAAACTCAGCGTCTCTGAGCTCTCCCCTGGCCACTGCATCTGTCATAGAGACAGGCACAGCAACTTAGGACTCTGCTAATGTTTATAAAATCAATATTTTTAGGAGGAAATACACTAAAATGGATCTTAGTGCAAACACACACAATATAATGTCCCATTTTGTCTGTAAAATATAAAAGATGGGGTTACATTGGGTAAATAGATACCAAACATGTCAAATGTTTATTGACAGATGTAAAAATATAAAAAAATACAGTACCCAAAAATGCCCATAGGTGACACTTTTAAAGCCTTCCCGCTCATTAATCTGAGTTAACAGTGAGTGATAGCCCTAGAATTATTGTTCTCACTTCAATGCTTGCGGAGATATGTAAACATGTGTGGCACGTGGCACAATTGTCGTTTTTATATGTAGGCGTACCTGACCCCTGTTTGCATTTGTATGTGTGTGTACGCGGGCATGAAGTGCTTGAACTTTTTTAATTATTATTATTTATATGTCCCTTTCATTTTTTAAAGTTTTTTTATAAAAATAAGTAAATGTTCCTGTCTGCTTTGTCCTGTCTCTTAGCCCAGAGGAAGGTGAAGTGGAAATCCCCTGAAAAGCGTTGGCTTTTATAAATATATTTCCTATCAAGATTAATAAATCTCTCCATATAAACTATGTGCAGCGCTCCAATCAATAAAGTATGCAAAACACTAAAAACATATCAATAATTGTGGCAAAACAATACAACTTAATGTGCATCAAATTGTGCATACAATTACAAGTGACCATTACCCACAAACTAAGTGAGCAATCTTTGTCAGCTTTTCAGTGAGCACATAGTTCCACACTAGTGAATAGTATCCTGTGCAATTATAAACAATATTTATCAACTTTTCAGCAAACAGTCCCAAAATGGTGAGTGATATCCCGTGCATATGATATTTAAATAAACTCTTCCAGGTCAGTGCTCTTCAGGTATTCATACCCTCCTCTGCTGGTTTGCTCTTATTCTCAGGCACTCTTCCAATACAGGGCTGGATGGCTCTCAAAAAAATAAATAAAGCAAACCTCCATAGTGTAACCCCGTATTTTTATTATAAGAAATACGAAGAATGCACTCACATTAGGAAGACAAATACACAGCGCATAAATATTGGCATGAACACAGCTAGCAGAATCTCCTTTCTCAAAGGCTGGGTAAGTTGTGGCTCCATCATGCTTAAAGGAGAACAATGGGGTCAGTGCTTTTCCCCATAGTTCTCCTAAGCGCTGGAGGATCGGACAGGGGAGGGGGGGATCCCTGCAGGGAGCCGTGAGTGACAGTCATGGCTCTATGCAGGGATAGATCGAGAAGTGAGCGAGCAACGGTATGTGTTCGCTCACTTCCTGATCTATTGAGCCGACCTGTGACAATTTCATTGTCACAGGTCGGCTCGAACTATGAGGTTGAGTGATTTTTACTCGCCTCATAGTTCTCCTTTAATACACACTGTGGTAACCATGGAAACAAATAAACAATTAAACTTTTCTCCTACTCCACAAAGGGCCTGCTCACACCATGTGCAGCCCAGATGCAGTCCGCCCAGTCCCAGCCAAGGCTGCATATCATAAAGGCCATCACCAAGCTAACATTCAAATACAACACAGAAAGGCTTCCCAAACGGTTAGCACTATTTACAAAGGACTATCACACATAAATAAATAACGAAATAAATACATATATATAAAAAAACAATTTTAAAAACATATATAATAAAACTGGACTAATTGTTTACTTGTGTTTCTCTTTACACACTGCAAACCAGCGGAATTTAAACAGATACATGGTTACACCAGCGTGGATCTATGATGACAGATCTCAAAGCACAGGGAAAAAAAAGGAAGCGTAAACAGTTATAAAATAAATAAAGCAAACCTCCATAGTGTAACCCCGTATTTTTATTATAAGAAATACGAAGAATGCACTCACATTAGGAAGACAAATACACAGCGCATAAATATTGGCATGAACACAGCTAGCAGAATCTCCTTTCTCAAAGGCTGGGTAAGTTGTGGCTCCATCATGCTTAAAGGAGAACAATGGGGTCAGTGCTTTTCCCCATAGTTCTCCTAAGCGCTGGAGGATCGGACAGGGGAGGGGGGGATCCCTGCAGGGAGCCGTGAGTGACAGTCATGGCTCTATGCAGGGATAGATCGAGAAGTGAGCGAGCAACGGTATGTGTTCGCTCACTTCCTGATCTATTGAGCCGACCTGTGACAATTTCATTGTCACAGGTCGGCTCGAACTATGAGGTTGAGTGATTTTTACTCGCCTCATAGTTCTCCTTTAATACACACTGTGGTAACCATGGAAACAAATAAACAATTAAACTTTTCTCCTACTCCACAAAGGGCCTGCTCACACCATGTGCAGCCCAGATGCAGTCCGCCCAGTCCCAGCCAAGGCTGCATATCATAAAGGCCATCACCAAGCTAACATTCAAATACAACACAGAAAGGCTTCCCAAACGGTTAGCACTATTTACAAAGGACTATCACACATAAATAAATAACGAAATAAATACATATATATAAAAAAACAATTTTAAAAACATATATAATAAAACTGGACTAATTGTTTACTTGTGTTTCTCTTTACACACTGCAAACCAGCGGAATTTAAACAGATACATGGTTACACCAGCGTGGATCTATGATGACAGATCTCAAAGCACAGGGAAAAAAAAGGAAGCGTAAACAGTTATATTAGAAAAGTGGCTTGGTTTTCCCTGTTTCGGTTAGAAAGGATTTTGTTAGAAATATATTATAATTTTTCCTGTTTATGCTGTATTATCTGTACCAGATAAACAAGGAGGGTGCAGAGTTAAAGTGACACTAAACTCATGAGTTAAATCTTAAAAATGCATTCAAGTACCTTAACTAGTAACAAAAATGTATCTTATTTATGTATCACTTGGCTGCATTTCTGTTAATGATGAAGGTACTTGAATGCATTTTTAAAATTTAACTGTTTGGATAGCATGGTCATTTTTTTTTATAAAATTCAAAATGTTATTACTGCCTCCAAAACAGCAGGTTAATGTGACATCTGTCTGAGAGGGAGAGGAAAAGCTGAGAAATCTCCTCAATGAGACACAGCCAAAAAAAAAAAACCTAATAGACATTCTAGCCGTTCCCTATTCTATCCAAACCGAAAAAAAGAATACAAGTTTTGGATAGAGAAGCACTTTATGTGCAGTCTATGGTGTAAGAAAAAAGTTAATAGAAAAGAACACTATTGACACTGTTACCTTTTTGGAATCTTTTAAACATGGGACAGATGTTTATCAAAGTCCTATCCATGCAGGCACGTAAGAAGCTTTGCATGTTCTTATTGGCGGTACAAAACCGTGTCTGAACAAGCAATTTTCCAGTACATAGCAGATCTTTCTCCTACAGCTACAGATACCTTAACATACATCCTAGTCCCATCTTTACATTAAAGCAGAACTGTGGCCAGGCTAAACACATACAAATATTTAAGTATTCTAAACAACCAGTAAATAAAAATTAAAAATAGGACTCACCTGACCCCTGTAGCTGCAGACACTGAGGAGCAAATACTCCTAAATGCCCCCAAGAGAAACAATTAAGTTTTTCTAGACAAGTTTCAGGACCCTGCTCTCTCCTTTTTCTGGTGTCCCTGCTCTATGTTTTTTATTAAATTAGCAGGCTGGCAGGCTGCCAAGTCACTGCTGGGAGTGAAAGTAAACATGCTTTTTCGCTGTAAAGTTTTAGGATGAATAGCTTCACTGTTCTTAAAGCTACAAAGGCCATCAAGTACTTATTTTAAAGCATACTTACTGCTTGTTAATATGCAATTTATTTAGTAGCCTGACCCCAGTTGTACTGTAAGCCAAGCAAATAATGTTGGGTGGTAATAGTATTTACTATGTCAAGTGATGTGTCATTACCTCATGGTTTGAGTACAGACGAACACCTTCCATCTGATGAAAAACTGGATAGTGGGTCCTATCAATCTCATCGCGGCGATAAACATCTCCCACAACCAGGAATGCATCCAGTCCAGAGTGCATCAAATCCCACTGATGAGCTGATGTGTGAGCACGGAGCATGTGGAAATGGTTCAAATAATAATTGTCTCCTTTTGTTCTACTTGGATGGTCCAAAGGAACAAGAAGTCTGTCAAAATTTTGTTCTGTTGTGACAATGGGACACAAATCGTCATAGACTGAAAACAGAGGGTTTTCATGTCGTCCAATATATTGCCTGTAAAAATGTTCCTTGATTCTTTCTTTGATCAGCCACAATGGATGGTAAGTCTGGTTATGTATCTTCCGTCCAACCAAAGATAAGATTTTACTGGTAACATTTGTGTAATCATCTCTGGGAAACTGTCTACGAAGGAGCTCCACTGAACTAGGAATGTCTTTGGATGTTTTAGAGGTTAAGGACCGTAAACTGTCATGCTTTAAACATGATGTAATCCTAAGATTATGAGCCTTTGCAGATCTTGATAATGTTGAATATTGAAGAACTATTTGCAGTGCAGAGCCTAAAAAAAAACAAAAAAAAAAAAACATTTATAAGTCTTAAAGATCACTGTTAAGAATTATTTTGCCAAAGGGGTGCATGTAAAAATGCAAATTATTTCAAAATTGACCGCAAAAATATACATTATAGTGATAATTTTTCCACAGCCATACCAAATACATATTAAAGTTGAACCATTTGTTTCCATTCTCAACAGATCCCAGGCATAAGGATCTTGCCACATGTTCTCCCATGACTGATCACAATCAGCACAAAGCTAAACTTCTCATTCCATCTGCAGACACACCTCTCGATTTTGCTCAGCCTTACCAAAACTATTTCTACTTACTATAAAATCAGTTTCTTTAAGTGAATTAAGCGATGCAGGATCAGTAGTAATTCTAAACCAGAGAGATGTCCAAAAGCAGAGATTAGCGATCAACAGACAAATTAGCGATCAACAGACAAAACTAAACATTATCGGCCTACAAAAACAACAAGAATATATTTGGCACTGCCTACAGCTCACAAAGCTGCCTAAAGGACCCTACACAAAAATCAGGCATCAGATGAGGCCTGAACATCCACATGGGAAAAACTTAGAAAATGTGTGAAAATAAGACCAGGTGGTGGCCTTACAAATCAGGGGAACAGTTGCCTAATGCCAGAAGCCCCGGAAGCACTCATAGATCTAGTATAATACACCTTTACAGAAAAGGTGGAACCTTATCTTTCAGACCATTGTATGATGATCTGCCAGAGCCTCCTGGAGATGGGACCTTCAGGAATGACAAAATTGCAATTTGGTTTCTTAATGTTGCCCATGGCAGACATATAAACTGGAATACACCAACCACATTTAGAGAGAAATCTTGTTCTCATAAACAGGAGCTGGACAAAAGAATAGAAAAATACTCTCCTGATTAAGGTGAATGGCTGAAACCATCCTAGGAAGGAGGAAGGCCTTAGGCCTCAGGCCTCAATGACACCTTATCCTTGTATAAGACTAGAAAGGGTTCTTTACAGGACAAGGCAGCAAGCTCAGAAAACATGCCTCACAGAGGTTGTGCAGGGGGAGCCACATGAGAGGCAAGGGGGTCCATGGCCACTGTGACACAGGTACTGTATGAGAACACCTCCGGAAGTAAGGACCACTTCTCTGGGTGCAGACACTGTTGACTGAGATACTCTGCCTGCCAACTGTCTATATGTCTTGTGAATGGCAGAAAAGGCTGGAATGTGGAGTTCTGCCCAGGTTAGAATTATTTTTACCTCTCTGCCCACAGCAAAAATTCTGGTTTGTGCTCACAACAACCAGATTGCTATAGAACAGGAAGGGTTAATAGCCAGAAGTGACCAGCACAATACAGACGGCAGCAAAGACTATGTGAAGTGAAACCCCACTATCAGAGTAGCAAGGTTGTGCAACTTCACATTTAGCAAAAGATGAGCCTCTTGCATGAGCTTGCTCTCAAGGTAGTCAAATTTATGACTTTACATATATGATAATATCTGTACTATTACGCCAAAATTTTTGGAGACACATTTAGCCCACCGGTATTCATACAAAGAGACTGTCACAATAGATTTAGCCTCTACTATAGAATAAAATAATGTATTTGTGCTTTAAACCTACTAAAATGTTAAACATGCAATAAAATATTAAATTTTTGGAGACAAGAAGAAAGCATCTATTGTCTTGAACGGATTAGAAACTGGAATAGCATAGGTAACAAATACTAACATATTAAAAGCTGTAATGAGCAGGATGGCATTAAACTCTTTCATCCTTCACCTTTTAGAGGCATTAAATTAACATTAGTTCATCTATCCTGTTGAGGTCACTCAATAGGGTGCTTTTCTGTATTGACTAGGTTAAAATAATACATTTTGGAAATGATTGTGCATTCATTAAAAGGACACAAAAGGTGAAAGTTGGAAAGGTATCAGGGCTTAACAGTTAAAAGTTGCATATACACATGTACATAGTGATATACATAGTGATTTTTAGCAATATGATGCTTAGAGTAGTAAAATTCCATGCCCATATATAAGAAATAGTGTAATCAAAATAATTAATATAACACATATTTCCTTGAATATATATTTGCATATTTAAATGCATAATTACAGTCAAGATGAATATTCATTCATTACTGCACACATAAAGGGAGATTTTACCTTACTTCCTGTTTGATGACTAGAACAGGTAAGCAGAAACTCCCTAAAGAAGTAAAAGACAGCAGTAAAAGCCCTTTTTAAAGTGTCCATTTGCACCTCTCTGTTATCCACTTTCACATTATCCGCAGTGAGTTAAAGCACATGCATTAATGTCAACTGCATTAAGGCAGTCCTTTCAAAATGATTTGGCCTGCCACCATACCCTAACATGCTTAAAAATGCACATGACCTTTTTTCTCTAATGCAACATGGCGCTACAATGCCTTAGTGTATTAGGGTGCCATTCAAAATGAATGGCAAAGCAAAGCATATTACATCCATTATCATAGGGCAAAGTGTAAACAGCGTGCTAGTGTGTCCTAGAGTGTTTTCAATGGCGTATTTGTCCCAAATAGGAAGATTCCCACAAACAAAAGGTGTTAACCCTTCCTCACTCTAACCGGAATTAAAAAAACAATTGGTTGGGGTTCCATATTGAGAACAAAGTTTTAAATCCATAACAAATTCGTATTCATTAAACTCCTCTTCTCCACTGCCAATATGGGGTCAATTCAATACGTTACATAAGAAAATGCTCAGTAACTGTTTTATCACAATAATTTCATCATTAAAACAAACATAAAAAATATTAAGTGGAGTCTTTTTTGTCATGAAATAGTTATTAAGTCACTTAAGGGTCTATTTATAAACAGAGTCAATTACCCTCCAAATCTCTGAATGCTTGTTCTGTGCAAAAAGAGGCAAAAACAAATGTTCTTAGTATAGTATGATTGTATTGTATAATGTGGTACCGCATTATGGCCACTAGATGGTGCTGAGCAGTATAGGAAATAAGTATTTGTAAGTGTGTGTAAACTCTTATTTTATGTTCAGGGTGTTTGGCATCACATCTCACTGTATACAGTTTTCTTAAGAAAACATTTTTTTTTTGTTAAATTGTTGCAAAGTTTGTTTTTTGAAGGCCCTGCATGCAATAGAATTTCCTGTTGCAGACTGACAACACTAAGGCACTGCCTCACAATTAGTAGTAGCATTGTCATGAAATGGTAAATAATTTCTCAACAGTCTACTTAAAGAACCTCAGATCATCTCCTGCCTGAAAATAAACCATGCCGTAATTTAAAAAAAATAATTTTATACACAAAATAACAAAAAAATATGTATCCAATATGCATGCAATATATACAACTAATCGTGTATGCCCATAGTAAGATAATCTACACGCTACGGTGCTAGACTTAACAGAAGCAGTCCTAAAATACTTATAATGACATTACTCCATTCTGTCAATAAAGGTGGACTTGCTGACTCTGATACATAAAATAAACCATTAATATGATTTATTATTCCATAGTTAATTAAAACGCAGCTAATATCAGTTACTGTGCAGTTCAAAAAGTAAGTAGCTTCACAAGATTATCAAAGTAGTCAAGGATTTTTAAATAGTGTTTTCCTCACTTCAATGGAGAACCATTAATCACAATGATATCGGGAACAGCATCTGAAAAACAGCTACATTGGAGATGATTACAAAATGGTTTACCGTTAAAAAATATCAACAGTGTTGACATTTTGTATGATATGAATTATGACACTTTAATAACAATTTCACCTAACCTTACTTGTTTCACTGATTTTATATTGTACAAAATAGTCAGCCCTTGTAGGGAAAAGAATACAATTTTTATACTTATCCATCGAGGTACACAGAAATTAGGGAATTCTGAAATAGATGGGTTATTTGCCACTGTCTTCATGAGCTTTGGACGCTGGCAAATAGTAAAAAAAATATTGAAGGCCAGCCCTCATACTGCACTGCCTTTAACCATCATTCCTTATTTTTGGGAGCAAGCAGTACACAAAGGCCATTAAACAAAGAGGGGCGGGACCTATGTGCTTCAACTGAGTTGAAGAAAAATATTTTACAGTAAGTACAAAAATCTTATTTTCTTGATCGTCCATTAAGGCACACAAGAATTAATTAAGAAACAGATGGGATATCCAAAAGCAATCCAAGTGAGGAGTGGGCAACAGCCACTGCTTGATCTAAGATAGAACCAGGAGCGGTCTGAAACAATCAGAAGGACCAATAGACTAAACTAAAATAGAAGATTTGAAGTTCCTAAAAGGACAGGTGAACTGTTAAAGACCCAGGGGAGGTCGCAGAGAATCAACATGATGCTCAGACCGCACCTGCATAAGCTGTGAACGGTTGGAGTAACATAATTAGCCGAACGAGGAGAACTGACCAACAAGAAGAATGGTCAAGAAAGAGGCAATAGAAGGTTTTCCAGCTTCAAAACAGATCCCTAGGGTAAAGTTTTACACGATCTTTCGACCCTAGGCATTAAAAACAAAGAAAGGTTCCAAGAAGAAATAAGGATATCTAGGATAGCCATCCAATCGCATAGGGGATAATCAAGATAGAGATTTATCTAACATAATACCCCAAGGTGAATGGCCAAGGATCTAAGGAGTTCTTGACCATCCACAACATCAATGAAACCACAAAATTGAACAAATCATGCAAGAAGTACCCCACATCAAAAAAGGCTGGAGTGGGAAGAAAACCAACCTATACTGATGCAGCAACACCAGAAAATAGTAGGACTGGCAGAGCTGTCCACAAGGACACGCAGCAGTATCACTAGAACCTAACAGGGAAAACCCCAGGCAGGGCCTATCTACCTGATCCAGGACATGGGAATGCAATTCCTCTGACCCTTCAGGATTCAGAACCTTAGCCAGAGATCGTCTGATTTAGGACAGGAGCAGAGAAGGGACACTTTAAAGGAACTTCCCATAGAAGCTGCAAATCAGCCACAATAGGAGGAACCAAATAATCCAAACTCACAAGGATCCCTGGACA